CCCCCCGAATCCCTGGTGAGCATTGCCACCATTTGAAAACCATAGTTTCAATCAGTCAGTACCAATTTGATGGCGAGTAGATGTGGGGCCCATTTCCCATGTTTTGTGTCGCCTCGCTTTGGATAACGGGCTTAAACTTAATTCAGGATAGCATACACGATGCTAGCTCACAGTCATTTCTAGGATTGAGTAATATTCCATTGTGAGCATATACCACATTTTAATTATCCACTCATGAATTGACGGGCACTTGGGTTGTTTCCATGACCTTGCAACAGTGAATTGTGCTGCTATAAACATTCGGGTGCAGATGTCTTTATAATAGAATGTCTTATGCTCTTTTGGGTAGATGCCCAACAATGCTATTGCAGGGTCGAATGGTATTTTTATTTCTAGCTGTTTGAGGTATCTCCAAATTCTTTTCCACAAAGTTGCACTAATTTGCAGTCCTACCAGCAGTGTAAGAGTGTTCCTGTCTCTCTGCATCCTCGCCAGCATTTGTTGTTTTGGGGTTTCTTGATATAGGCCATTCTTACTGGGGTTAGGTGGTATCTCATTGTGGTTTTTATTTGCATTTCTCTAATAATTAGAGAAGTTGAGCATTTTTTTATATGTTTGCATGCCATTATTCTGTCTTCTTTGGAGAAGTTTCTTTTCATTTCTGTCACCCATTTCTTGATGGGATTGTTTGATTTTTTTCTTGTTAATTCTTTTAAGTTCTAGATAGATTCTTATTATTAGACCTTTATCAGAGGTGTAGAGAGCAAATATTTTCTCCCACTCTGTGGGTTGTCTATTTGCTCTACTGATGGTTTCCTTGGCTGTGCAGAAACTTTTTAATTTGATCAGATCCCATTTGTTTATTTTTGATGCTGCAGTGATTGCCTTGGGGGGTTTCCTCAAAAATTCTTTGCCTAGGCCAATGTCTGATAGGGTTTTCCCAATATCTTCTTCTAGGATTCTTAAGGTTTCATGTCTTAAATTTAAGTCTGTTATCCATCTTGAGTGAATTTTTATGAGAGGTGAGAGGTAGGAATCCTGATTCGCTCTTCTGCATGTAGCTAACAAGTTTTCCCAGCACCATTTATTGAAGAGAGATTCTTTTCCCCAATGTATATTTTTGTCAGCTTTGTCAAAAATTAATTTATCATATACTGATGGTTTCATCTTTGGTATCTCAGATCTATTCCAGATATCTATGCTTCTGTTCTTGTGCCAGTACCATGCTGATTTAACTATTATTGCTTTATAGTACAGCTTGAGGTCAGGTAGACTGATGCCTCCCAGTTTGTTCTTTTTATTTAAGATTGCTTTAGCTATAGGAGGTTTTTTCTGGTTCCATATGAAGTGAAGAATTATTTTTTCTAGATCTGTAAAGAATGCTGATGGTATTTTGATAGGGATTGCCTTGATTCTGTAGATCACTTTAGGTAATATTGACATTTTAACTATATTGATTCTACCAATCCATGAACAAGGTAGATTTTTCCATCTGTTTAAATCTTCTGCAATTTCTTTTTTTTTTAGTGTTTCATAGTTCTCCTTGTATAAATCTTTTGTATCTTTCGTTAAGTATACTCCTAGATATTTAATTTTCTTTGGGGCTATACTGAAAATTTGGTAAAGTTTCAGGTTATAAAATCAATATACACAAACCAGAAGCATTCATATATGCCAAGAACCATCAAGCAGAAACTCAAATTGATTTTTGAGTTGAGTTTCTGCTTGATGGTTTTTGATTTGAGTTTTTGATTTGAGTTTCTGCTTGATGGTTCTTGGCATATATGAATGCTTCTGATTTGTGTATATTGATTTTATAACCTGAAACTTTACCAAATTCGGTTATCAAGTCTAGGAGTCTCTTGGAAGAGTCCATGGGGTTTTCTAGGTATAATATCATATCATCGGCGAAAAGCGAGAGTTTGATTTCATCTGCCCCCACTTGAATGCCCTTAATACCCCTCTCCTGCCTGATTGCTATCGCTAGGACTTCAAGCACTATGTTGAATAGGAGAGGAGATAGTGGGCGTCCTTGTCTAGTTCCGGATCAAAGGGGGAAAGATTTCAATTTTTCCCCGTTTAGAATGATATTAGCAGTGGATTTGTCATAGATGGATTTGATAAGTTTAAGGTATGAGCCATCTATGCCTATTTTGTTAAGAGTTTTTATCATAAAGGTATGTTGGACTTTGTCAAATGCTTTTTCTGCATCTATTGATAGAATCATATGGTCTTTGTTCTTGATTTTGTTTATGAAGTGAATTGCATTTATAGACTTGTGTATGTTGAATCATCCCTGCATCTCTGGAATAAAGCCCACCTGGTGATGGTGAATTATTTTTTTGATGTGCTGCTGAATTCTATTCGCTAAAATTTTATTTAGGATTTTTGCATCGGTATTCATGAGGGATACTGGTCTGTAATTTTCTTTTTGTGTTGTGTCCTTTCTTGGCTTTGGTATCAAGGTGATATTGGCTTTATAGAATAAGTTAGGAAGGATACCATCCTTCTCAATGGTGTGGAATAGTTTCTGTAGTATAGATATGAGTTCATCTTTGTATGTTTGGTAGAACTCTGAAGTGTAGCCATCTGGCCCGGGACTTTTCCGTTTGGGCAGGTTTTTAATTACTGCTTCAATTTCTGAGCTTGAGACTGGTCTGTTTAGGAATTCTGTTGCCTCCTGCGTGATCTTAGGGAGGTTGTATGAATCCAAGAATTTGTCCATTTCATCTTCGTTCTGTAGTTTTTGGGCATATAGTTTTTTATAATAGTCAAATATACTGTTTTGTATGTCTTTGATATCTGTTGTGATCTCTCCTTTTTCATTTCTTATTGAGTTTATTACAGTCCTTTCCATTTAGGTCCTTGTCAATCTAGCAAGAGGGCTATCAATTTTGTTTATCTTTTCAAAAAACCAGCTTCTGGTTTTATTTATTTTTGGTATAGTTCTTTTGTTCTCCATTTCATTCAGTTCTACTTTGATCTTTGTTATTTCTTTTCTTCTATTAGGATTGGAAATTGTTTGCTCTTCTTTTTCCAATTCCTTGAGCTTATTCATTAGGTTGTCAGTATCTAAGCTTTCTGTTTTTTGGATGTGAGCGTTAATTGCTATTAGTTTTCCTCTCAGGTAAGCTTTTGCTGTATCCCACAGGTTTTGGTAAGAGGTATCACCATTATCATTTTGTTCAAAGAAATTCTTGATTTCCCTCTGAATTTTTTCCTTTACCCAATAATTTTTCAATAATAGATTGTTTAGTTTCCATGATTTTGTGAGGGGTTGAGTGTTTCTATAGGAAAAATTTCTGTAGGAAAAAATTTCTCCTACACACTTTCACTGAGGATGTAGCCATTTGAGAGTTTTGGCTCTAGCAGCTGTCTTATTTCCAATTAACCCTCTCAGGGAGCCAAAGGCCCATGTTTTATCTCCACATAGCTGTTAAAACTCAATTCCCTTAGTAATAGAAAAGAAAAAGAAGACTGCTTCTCATTGTGGTTTTCAATTCCCTCTTCTTTTTGACCCCAGGTATATCCTTTATATTCTTTTAAACTCAGCAGTACCTTTAAAAGGATGTCTGATGTATTTAATCTAATGTACTAAATGAATTGCAATTCAAAGTTTTTCAGATTATTCTATTTATTAAATTGCTATAAATGGAAGTTCTAAGGCAAACAATATAAAATACTATAAAACTAATCAGTAAATACACTTAATATCTCTTCTTATAAAATCACAAAATTGTGTCTATCTAGTCATATCTATGTATGAATGTATATATGTCTAAAAATCTCTATGGCAGACTTTTAAGAGTGATTATTTTGGGGGAGAATTATGAAAAGTCAGAGAGTGGTATAAACAGGTATGTGGACAACTTTTATTGTTCAAACATATTTGTCATTTAGATTTCTAAGAATGTTTTTATGTAATGTAATTGCTTTTAAAAATTCAACATGAATTTAATCAAATAAAGGCAAAATATATATAACCATAGGGATATGTGTGGAAGAGGACAAGGAACATTTCTCTAACCCTTTAGCTAGATGATAAAGGCTTTGCATTTATATGAGCCACAGGTTATGATGAAGGGGAAAAGAATTTATTTACCAGAATTGTTCATAGACTCATACTTTATTTAGAAAAATGCCTTAATATGTATTTGAAGTAGAAGATGAATCTAACCACATCAACCCTCATCCAGGCCTTAAAATGGGAGATAACTCTGTATAATATAAAAGGGACAATTTGGAATTCCTAAGAATTCCCCAAGGAGAAGTCCTTATATGTAAAATGTGTATCATAAATGCCTTACAAAATTGTTTGAGGATTTAGAATAAAACAGTGGTTCTTAAACTTTAGTATAACTCAGAATCACCTGGCATACAACAATTTATGTTTTCACAATTTATGTTTGCAATTTCACAATTGCAAAATCTTAGGGACAGAAAAGAGATGGTGGCCAGGGCCTGGGTCACAGAGGTGGAGGGTGACTAAGAAGGGGAATTTGAGGGAAAGATGGAACTGTTTATCATGGTGGTGGTTACAGGATGGTATATGAGTTTATTTAAACTCATAGAAATGTACATTAAAATGGTTAAATTTTTCAGTATGTAAATTATACTGCAATAAAAAATATATACAAAATACATATACATGCACATACATGCACATTAGGGCTTCACCCTCAGAGAAGTTCTGGAGTAGGGCCTGAGAATTTGCATTTCTATAAAGTTCCCAGGTGATATTAATGATGCTGGTCCAGACACATTTCAAGAACCACTGCTCTGGCCCAGGGTAGCTAGGCATTATTATTATTGTCACTAACATTTTTTGCATGTGCTATTCTCTCCCAGGTATCCACCACAGGACTCATTCCTCATTTGCTTCAAAATTCAAAATTCATCTACTCAAAATTCCTATTCAAAATTCCCTACTCAAAATTCATCTCCTCAGTTAGATTTTTCCTAACCATCATATCTAAACCTGCAACCTCACTTCCAACAAGTCTCCCCTTCCTAGTTTTTCTCCATCACTCATTAATCTCTAGTACTCTATAGTTGTTTTCTTCAGTTACTGTCTGCCCCCACTAGAATATAAGCTCCATGAAGACAGGAGTTTTTATCTGTTCTTTCACTGCCCTTGAAGGCCAAGCCTTCATTTCTGCGTTGGGGTTTGTCAATCCCAGAACTCACAGGCAGAAATCACATGTCCTAAAACAAGCAAAATACCCAGTCCACGGAGAAGAGAACCTGTGGATTTTTCTTCTCAACATACAAGACTCTGACCCAATCTAGGACCCTTTAAGGAAAATAATGAATAAAATATGTTCTTTAATGCCCAGAACAGTACCTGCCATACAGTAGGCAGTACTCAATAAATATAATATTCTCTAATTAATGATGGAATTCTTATTACTACTACTAATAACTCATCTGCTTCCATTTGTGACCCTCAGAACATGGCACTTAATCTTCATTTCCCCTCACATTGAGAGAAGTTCCATTAAAGTTTAACACAATACTGGAAAAAATTGGCTTTGGGATCAGATAGTAACAGATTTTGTATCTTAGTTCTGACTCTTACTGAGCACAGCTAGAAAATGTATCTAACATTTGTAAGCCGTGGTTTCCTCATCTATAAAATGGGGATAGTACCATCTCCCTTGTTAAATGAGCTCACGCACAGTGTTCATAGGGGGTTGGCACAGAGTGTCCTACAGTTGTGATGACTGCTCTTGACCTCTCATGGGCGCCCAGTGCTGGACCCAGTTCAAAGGGCCAGTTTTGGCTGACCGGCCTTCCCAGTGCCCATTTCTTAGCCTGAGGGCAGGATTTAAGTCAAAGACGGGTTCAAAATAGAGAACACATTTTTCCCTCCCTGTAAACAATATGCAAAAGAGCTCCTTTCCTTCAGTATCATTGAGCAAGACGTTTGCCTTCTTGGAGCCTCAGCTTCTTCACCTACACAAATGGGGTAAGTTGAGACTCAAGAAAATGAAGAGAGAAAACACCTGCACCCAGGAAATGTCGCACAAACACTGGTGGGCCTCACGCTCCCTCACTCTAGCCACCTCCTTAGAGCTCCTGAGGTCACCAGGAAGCCTCGAGAGCCACATGTCAAGGCGGAGGCCACCGTTTGCCCTGGTCCCGTTCGATGGACCAAGCAGGCACCTGCCCCAGGACTTCCTGGTTCAAAGGGGCCCAGAGACGCGAGCCCTTCAGCCACCTCTGGTCTATTACAGGACAGTTGTGGAGCTCATCCGAATTTGAGCATTTCCTTTCTAAATTTTATCAATGGAGCTCTGGAGCCTTCTGCAAGTTCAAGTCTGGTGCCTTGGGTAATTCAAACATGCTGCACTACTTAATACTTTCTTTTCTTCTAAGCTCTTTCAGATTTCTGTCAAGCCAAAAATATGTCGAATGACTCCCAAACCTGTGTAGCCTCAGTATCTAGTGCAAGAGAGCTATGTTGGTAAATTGGGACATAGCTATCGCCTTTTCCTGCAACACCTGGTGGGTCGGGAGCCAATTCCCTTAAACGCCAACCCTTCGTTTCTGCGTTGGGGTTTGTCAATCCCAGAACTCACAGAGACCACACAGCCAAAAACAAACAAAATACCTAGCCCACACAAAAGAGGAACTGTGATTTTTCTTCTCAACACACAAGATTTCCAGCCATCCTAGGACATTTTAGGGAGAAAAATTAACAAACTATGCGCTTTTCCAAGTTGTATGGGCTTTCTGGCAAACCGAAGGCAGTCGGCTTGGGTGTCAAATAGAAGTGATTAGAAACCGTCGGTGTGCGCGTGCGCGTCTGCTCGGTGTGCGCGTCTGCTCGGTGTGCGCATGCGCGTCTGAGCGCGCTTCCTGCCAGGTGCAGCCGCAGCCACAGAGCGGCTTTCCACCGGGAGCCCTGCGGGGGCAGTTAACACCAGGTTGCCTGGTTGCTTTTTATGAGTCCGCTGGCCGCACTAGAAACCTGCATATGTATAGTCACTGTTGCCCTTCACAGCTGAAGACTTGGCTGCTGACAACGTTATTTGCTGCAGGGGTGTACTAAAATAGTGGCGACGATGTTGCCCTTCGGCAGCGGATCTGAGAGGTCCCCCATTCTCAACTCCAGTAAGGCTGGCCGTTGCGTGTTCCTGCAGCTCCAGGCGCCCACAGAGACCATTCCCCTCCCTAAAGCCTCCCTTGCTCCCTCAGGCCATAAGAGGGCCTGGGTGCGTCCCATCCAGAGAAGGAGGCCTAAGACCAACTGTTAAGTTACAGACGAATCAGGACCCCTTTACAACTGGGCGTTTCTCTTCCCCCAAATGTGTTCTCCCAACAGTGCCTGCTGTTCACCCAGAGAGAGAGGAAGGCCGGTGGACATGACTCTTTACTACTCTCTTCCCCCTTGTCCTCCTCTTAGCTTTTTTTAATGTTCTGCCCTCTCCTTTCTCCCCGTTCTTATGAGACGTCACCCCCTAATCCTCCCTCCTGCACCCAGGCCTGCTGGCCCACCCAGACCTGGACACCTCCAACCCCTGCACGTGAGTCCTGGTCTTCCTGCCTCCTCTCTCCAGCCCTGTCCCCACCCAAGCCCATACTGCTACTGGGAGTGTTTTCTAAGGGATGCAGACCTGAGCACATCATTCTCCTGGTATGGAGCAGGCCTCACCAGCTCCTCCCCAAGGTTCACCAGGAGATCCGAGAAGGGGCCCCCACCTCCCCCTACAGACTCAAGTTCGCAGCGCTCCACTTGGCACACAATGCTCCAGCCACACAACCCTTCCTTGTTATGGACTTCCCAGCACCCTCTGTGCCCTGCCAGGCACAGAGGTGTACCAGGTGCTGTGCCATCCACCTGGTACTCCCTTCCCACTATTTTCCTAGATCACTATTAGGAATCACTTGCCTTTTAAGCCAAAACTCAGTTAAGCCTTCTTTGACCCCATCTCTTCCCCTTTGTCTGGGTTGAGGCATCTTTTCTTTGTACTAAAGCAGAGGTCAGCAAACTGTGACCTGTGGGCCAAACTGCTCTGCCATCTGTTTCTATAAATAACGCTTTATTGGGACATAGACACATCCATTCGTTTACCTACTGTCTAGCTGCTTTCACGATACAGCAGAGTTTAGTTACAACTGAGACCATATGTCTGGCAATGCCTAAAGTTTTTATTCTCAAACCCTTTGCAGACAATGTCTGCCCACCACTGTTCTAAATCCCATATCATAGCACACGCCACACTGTATGGAATCACTTCCTTTACATATCCATTCCTACACTAGACTATACGTTCTTGAGTTGATGATCTCAGCCGATTCATTTTTTAGCAGAACACAGTGGTTAATAGTCTGTCTAAAGCCAGACTGTTAGAGTTGGTGTTCTGGCTTTGTTACTTACTTGCTATGTGATACCAAGAAAAGTACTCAATCTCTCCCTTATGGCTCCTCATCAATTAAATAGGAATAATAGTGATACCCACTTCATATGCTTATTAAGAATATTAAATAAGTATAAATTTCTTATTACAGTACCTAACACTTAGAATGTGTCACATAAGTATTAACCATTAATGTTATTATTATTATCACCAGGCCCTGGCAGACAGTAGGTACTCAATGAATATGTTTGATATTGAACTATTTCATCTTGATTTATGCCTTTGGAAAATCAGCAAATTAAAAAACCATCTAGGACTGATTGTCCAGCTCTCAACCTAAACACCATGTTATCACTGGCTGCTACTCTCTTCATTTGAACTGTCTCTTTTATTTCTTTCCCTCATTCTCAAAGTCAATCAATCATCAAATTCTGTCAACACTAACTCCAAAGCATATGCCAAATCATATTATATCCCTCCATAATCCCTGCTACCCTCATCCAAGTCATCATCATCTTTGGCCTGAACAATCTCAGTTGGCTGTATGTCGGTTAGCTTTCGCCATGTAACAAACCACTCAAAACTTATTGGCTTATAACAAAGCCAATTACGCTGTTCAAAATTTTGCGGGTCAGAAATTTGGGCTGGGCTCAGCTGGGTGATTCTTCTGATCACTGCTGGGCTCACTCACGTGTCTGCAGTAAGCTGCTGGGTTTAGCTGGGGACCGGATGGTCTCGGATGGCATTCGTTGAGATGCCTCCTCTCTGCTCCATGAGCTTGTTCACATGGCAGTAGGGTCAGGTTCCAAGAAGGAGTGCAAGGTCTCCTGAGGCCTACGCTTGAGCATTCTGTGACTTCTGCCCCATTCCATTGAAGAAAGCAAGTCATGAGGCCAATACAAATTCAAGCCATGGAGAAACAGACTTTACCCCACTTTGATGGGAAGAGCTTAAAAGTCACACCACAAGAAACATGGAGATTGAAAGAGGATAACCATGCCCCTTTGTGCAAACAATTGACCACAACTCCCTCACTGTCCTCCCTGTTCTCCCTTTACTATTGTTCAATCCAGGATCTGCACATGAGTCAGAGAGATCTTTTGTAAATGTAAATAGGTCAGGTCACACCCCTGCCAAAAATCCTTCATGACTTCCCACTGCTTTCAGAATAAGATGAAGATTCCCTTCCCCATCTTGCAAGGTGCACTCTCTGTCCTCTCTCTCTGTCCCTCCTGCTTGTCCACTCTGCTCAACCTCCCCCCAGCTTCCTCTGCTCCTCCAGCAGGCCCACCTTGCCCAGCCTTGGAGCCTGAGGCCTGGATTTTCTGACTGCCTGGAGGACATGTCCATCACTTCAGCCTGACTGGTTCCTTCTTCTCCTTTCAGTTTCAACTGAATGTAAAAGAACCCCACCATCTTGCTTCATTCCCCTTATAGCATTTTTCTATTCTCTTGTGTGCCCTTTCATATTTGTTCATTCTTTCTTTCTCTATCCCCACTTCAAATGGAAGCTCCATTAGAACAGGGACCCACTCTGTCCTGTTCATAGTCTTGGGGTCTAAAACAGTTTCCAGTTTAGAGTAAATGCCCAATCAAGATTCCTACAAAGGACAAATTTCCTGAGTCATAATTTATGCCCGGCTCTGAGTTAGGCACTTCATTCTCATTATTTCATGTAATCTATGGAGCAACCCTACAAGGTAAAAATTTTCATCCCGATTGTACAGTCAGAGAAATCAAAACTCAAAGAGGTTGATGTTTTTAAACTGCAAGTCAATATTAGCAGTGACTATTCATTGTTCTCTGCTGCTTTGCATACCTCATGGTCTGTTTTTCTCAGTAATGTGGCATGTGTGTGTTCTGATCCATTTTGTACGTGAGTGAACAGAATCGGGTTAAACTTAATGTCTGTTGCATGATGCTATTTCTTTGGGGTGTTCACTTTCCTGTTGACTCTAGGAAGTTAGCCTCTTAAAGGCAGAGATGTGGTCTGCACACTATTGATTCAGTATCTCCCCCACCTCCAGTCTCCAGGATGAGGCTGTCTGTGACACTGGATCATGTGGCATGCATTGGTGGGATGATGGGTATTTTAGGGCACCTCTGAATCAGAGGGGTGAGATCTACTGGAGATCATCTCATCTATTTCTCTCATACCAAAGATGGAAAAGCAGAGGGCAAGAAATGGGCAATGATGTGCCCAAGGCCACCTAGTGACTTCTGCCACTCACCAGCAGATTATACCTGAAACCAGGTCTCTTACATCAAAGGTGAGTCCTCCATTCTCGAATGTTCCTTCACTTTCCAAAGTAAATGGAGGCATCAGAGGACCGATGGCCAATACTGAGGTACTCTTAAGTATTTTTATTCTATCCTCCTCCAACTCTGCAGAAATGATATATTTCCTTGAAATTCCTTCTGATGCCAAATACAAGCACCTCTGTGTGACCAAAGTACTTTAAAGTTAATGGGCCCAAGTTAACTTTCCATCCAATAGAGAACACCGCCATTCTGTGTTAAATGCACATCAAGCAACTGTCTCTTATGGACCCTAAATCACAGCATGGCCTTGTGATTCCTGCCAAGCATCCATGGTGCCCACATCTCCTGCATCCACCCCCTTCTCTCCACCTCACCACCACCACCCTTACTTAAGACGCCACCATCTTGCACCTGGACTCAATGGTCCCTCCTCACTCAGGCCCCACACCCCACAAGCAGGCAGAGCATCTCCACATGCATGGCCCCGTCACAGCCTTCCATCAGCTTTCCTCTCTGAGAATAAAAGTCGAATGTCTTGGTGTGGCCCTGGAACCTACCTGGACCAGGTAGGCTGGTCCTTCTCTACAGTGGAGCCACATTGCTCAGCACTCTCTCCTTCACTCTGCTCTCAGGCTACAGGAACCCCTCTTCAGTCTTCACATGTGCTGCTTCTCCCCAGCTCAGGCCTCCACCTTTGCTGCCCCTTCTGTCTGGAATCTCCATTTTGCCCCCAACCCTTCCTCTGCTCCCATCACCTACAAATCTCTTCTCCACCTTCTGCCCTCAGTGAGTGACGCCGCCTCAAGAACGTCTCCACGGAATTCCCAACTGGGTCAGTCTCCCTAGTTTACCTGCTCATCATAGGCAGAGCGTTTTTCTGTGATGATGCATTTGTGTCTATGGTTATCTGCTTCACATCTGTCCCCTCCTTCAGGTCTTGAGCAGTTTGAGGGCAATGACCATGGATCGTTTACTTGTCACTGTACTTCCAGAATCTAACATTCTACCTGGCATGCATGAGAAGTTTCATAACTATTTCCTGAATGAATGAATGAATGAATGAATGAATGAATGAATGAATGAATGGCACTCACGTTTGGGCCTCTCCAACCACTGTACTCTGTTGGTCTGGAAGGAGCAACAGGTTCACAGGCCAATCAGAATGAGAAGAGACAGGTCTCAGGAAGAAGGCAGTGATGCTCAGTGGTCACAGCAAGGGTCTGGAGTTGCTCACTCTCTGTGTTCTCACTGAGTTTTGGTTTCAACATCTGTAAAAGAGGGATAATAATAAGAATAACAACAATAAAAACAATAGTAATAATAATACTCATCCCATAGGGCTTTGGGAAGACTAAATGATAGTGTGTCTGGCAGATAGTAGGAGCTCGAGTGTTAGATATTCTGGTTATTACAAAAATGTATAGATAGCAATAGCAAAAGAGCATTTTTCTAAACATACAGACAGCACTATGGAAACCCCTCCTCAAAGTTTTGGTAAAATCCTCCTAAAGACCAAGGGTCGCCAGCAGCCAAGCCTTGTGTCACCCTACCATTATGACCCCATGCTTACTCCATCTTCCTTGCCATCTCTCTTCTCCTCTCTGTCCCTCTCCCAGTCACTTTCCCCACCTGCCAGGGACTTGCTTAGCAACTGAATCTGTCTAGCAAACGCGGGTGGGATGTGAGCCTTCAGAATCGTTCCACAGAGTCTCATATTCCCTGTTCTCCCCCTCCTTCCTCACTGCCCACGCCATTGCCAATTAGCCACATCCTTTCCGAAAGGCTCTCAACTCCCCAGGAGCCAGACAGAAATCTCTCTCTCTTGCTTCAAAATCTACAGCACCATTTTCCACCTCCACCAAAGACACACACCTACGCTCCCCTTTGTTTTTCCTCCTTCTCTTCCCACTCGCACTGTCCACTCCTGAGGCTTTGAACTTCAGGATTCCACACTGATGCAGAAAGGGCATGAGAGTGAGCTCAGCCTGCGACTTCTCCTCACTGTGCCCCAGTTTGGTCATCTGCCACACAGGCTGCCAGAAAAACCAAACTGGCCCCTCGCATGATATTCAGAGATAGAAATAAGACAATGTTTGGCACATAGTAGATGCTCAAGAAATGTTGGCTCCTGTTGCTCTTACTGTGTGGGCATTTTCTAAAGACTAAGTCACAGATTGTGTCTGGCAAAGGAACAGAATATCTGGTTCTAGCAGGGAACAGGGCGTGGGGTGGTGTCCATCCTGTGACACAGTGGGGGGCCACTCTCCCTGTCTCCTCCCCTCCCCCTCAGCCTCAGAGAGATCCCTGGATGAGATCATAATCTTCCCAAGGACAGGGACCTTGTCATACTCAACTTTGTACCTGGCCCAGGCCCTGGCAGGTAACTGGCACTCACAAAAAGTTTCTCTCAAAACCAGCCCAAGGTTGACTGGTACCTCCAGTTAGCTACAATGGATTGTGACTCTCATTTCAGTCTTAGCTACTGGGCTTTGTGGTAATCTCCCAGGACAGAGGCTAATTCTCTGGGAAAGGGTTTTTGCTACGACCTTGTATGGGAATAACAGAGAGGGTTGGCACCGCATTTAGAGTCTGTGGTGTAGAAGGCTACTCGTGTTAACTGTGTAACCCAGCCCCTGGCATCCTCATTGCAGGGTACACATTTAGGCTGATCTGACTTTATAAAGGCCACCTCTGGGTGCACATCTAAACAGTTATCTCAACAGAGTGGAACCACCTCCTAGAGGCAAGATGCTAGTAGCCAGAATGGCCCACACCAGTCATCAGAATACTGCCTTAATCAAGTTCATACCTGTCAGCATTTACTGCGTGTTAAACATAGTTAAGAATCATTTTTGCAAGAAACATTAAAATGGTGAATTTAATAAACCAAACCTTCTCCCCTTCACTAACATCATGCATTCCTTGCTCCTCTTCCTCTGCAACTGTCTTGCCAGGCTCTACACACTGTTTAGCAATTGCCTACTTGCATATAGAAACTGACCAGCTAGGAAGTTACGTTTGCAGCAAAGATATTTTCCTTTGGTGTATAATTCTCTCCCCTGCCCCCTACCCCTAACCCCAACCTACCTCTCACCTTCTAAAGTCCATGGGGCTTTCAAAAGCAGCCATTTTTACATCTGTCTGCTATTCACCAAAGCAAACCAGAGCACCTTACAGCCACAAATTGGAGAAACCATGTTGGGCTTCTCAAACTTTCTATTAATGGGCACCAAAAAGAAGTTCACTAAAACAATGTAATATCCTTAGTGCAACTAATGTGGTTCCTCCTGTTCTAACTAGCTCATGAATAATAGATGAAGGGAGCTTCATCTGTTTTAATTAATTTGGTCTTAAAATTAATTCAGTCCAGTACAAAATTAGCAGGCAATTAAGCCTCATTGGACCAACTGGACAAAAATATGCCAACGTCACTGGGTAGAGAAGTGAACTAGAAATAAACACGGACCACAGTCCATTTTCCCAAACCAGAACTCCAAAAAGGAGCATCGCCAATTCCTATAAGGATGTGACTCCATCCGCATTCCAAGTCTTGTAATCGAATTTCTACCTCATCGATAGGAATTTCAGCATTCATATGTTAGGAAATTCTTGGGGGAGGTTTCAAGTGTACAGCAAGATTGCTTTTGTTTTTGAAACTTCCGAATAATTCAGGAGAATTTCCTGTGCAGTAAGGCATAGGCTATAATAGCAATTATCAACTGCAATTCTTGGGCACATGCAATAAACACATTTGGTCTAAGAAATTATCACAGTTTGTTATGTACATGAGTTTAGCAGATTCTTGGTTCCATTATCCACTTGGCAATTACATATAGTGTTATAATAATAGTTTATCTTAAAATAGTGTGCTTCTTCTCTGGATCTTGGCATGCTTAATGAGCACTTTTTCCTTAACCCTCACAATGCCCTTTAGAATTGGGAAGATATAAATATCGTTAAAATTACTTTCAAAACAAAGATACTAGGGTTCCAAGACAGGGATAGACGATCACAGCATTCCAAGTAGCTTTAAAAGACATCTACTCCAACTGCCTCTCCAGTGCTTGAATTCCCGCCGCCTCTTTGTGAACACCTCCAGTGATAGATAACTCATTAATGTAAGAAACTGCCCATCCCATCTCTAGAGAATGTGACTGTTAGATTGATCTGGAATTTATCTCCAGTAGATAAGGACTATTTCTACCTTAAATACATCTGATTCCTCTTACACATGGCATCTCTTCTCCTGCTGTAGCCAGCCCCTCTGCACCTGTTCCTCCAGTCAAACTTCACAACATGGCTCTGAGCCTTTCAACATTCTGATCACTCTCCTTGGAATCAACTTCACAGGACAGTGCAATGCAGTAATTGAAAGTATCAGCTTAGAAGCCAGGCAGATCTGGAGTTGAGTTCTGGGGGTGTCATTTCAAGCGTATCTGTGAATGGGCTATATGCTTACCTCTGAAACTCAGCATCCTCTTCTAAAGAATGTGGATAAAAATGTCTGCTTTGTAAGATTATTATGAAGATGAATTGGGATAATGTAAAAGAATATTTATTATAGAGTCCAGCACAATTAGGTTTTCAGTAAATAATAACCAAATAATAATTATAGCTAATGCCTACACAGCTCACACCAAGCACTTTGTACGTCAACTCATTTGCACTCACAACAAGCCACGACATTGTTATCAGTTCTACTTTATAGAGGAGGCAACTGACGTACAGTTAAGTAACTTGCCCAAGGTCACACAGCCAGTAGGAGACAAAGTCAGGACTTGAACAGCATCTGGCTCCAGCATCCATCCTCGGTAGCCATGTCAGTCTTAAACTGTGGTCCCCCAACTGGAATGCTTTCCAGGTGTTGACTGATCCGAGGCGAGTAGCAGCTCGGCATGCTGGCCTTCTCCCAGTGCTGCTCGAGCTCACCCTAGATGTCCTCCTGCGGGCCTTCATCCAGTTACACACCGCTCCCTCTGTGAGGTTCGCATTGTGACCTGTCACTCAGCGCTGACTCCCCAACCCCTTGTTCAGCTGCTTTGGGAATCCAAGCATCGTACTTAACAATTAGCATTTTTAAATGCCTTCTTGTTAAATCTGATCAGAATTCTAAACTGCTGGCATCTTCTGGGAACCCTGGCTCTCTCGTTCAACACATTTTCTCCATTCCCAACGTCAGGTCTTTCACACATCTGATGAGAGTGTCCCTAACCTCGTCCCAGGCACTGATAGAAAATACTGGGTCAGACAGGACACCGCACCATTAGAGTCCTCCCTCCAAGACGGCATCATCTATATCCAGCGGCGCCCTCAGGGGAGAGCTCAGTCCTGACAAAAATAGAACATGAGTCACCTCTTTAAGACCGTGGCTGCTTCTTATGTTGTTGTTGTTTAATCTCCCTTTTATCTCAGGTAATTCTAGCTAGTAAAATGGGTAGTCAAAGTAGTAATTAAATTCTAAAATTAAATAACATTCCTTTTGGGGGCTTTTTTCTGCCCACATATAAAACGGGGAGGAAATTAAGCTGTAATCTCTAAGAATACTTCCACCAACTCTAATGCTCCAGCTGTGTCAGGCTCTCCACGGTCTGGACTTGATGTCCCTTGAAAGGCCTTGGATCCCACCACTCCCCTTTCACATGTTACTCTCCAGCCAACCACAAAACACAACCAGTCCCTTGATCGTGATCTCTGCTACTTCCCATCACCATGGTTTTATACCTGCTCCTCTGCCCTCCCTTGTTCAGCTGATGACATCCTAGCTGTTCATCAAAACCAACTCAGATCAACAAATGGTTCTGGGACAAAGGAGAACTTCAATCCATACCTCTCCCCATATAAAAAAAAATGAATTCAAAATAAATCACAAGCCTAAATGTGAAATATAAAAATTCTAGAAGAAAACATTTGTGTGACTTTGGGTTAAGCAGATATATATATTCTGCTATGTGTCAAGCACTGTTCTAGGCACCTAGGAGTGAATACAACAAATGAAGAGCTCAGCCCTTGTGAAGTTTACATTCTAATAGAGGGAACTTACATTCCCAGAAATGACCAACGTGGCCTCACCCTTAACTCCTCTCTCTTTGTCAGACCCCACCAGTATGCCTTATTGATTCGATCTTCAAACTGTACCCAGAATCTGTGTACTGCTCACTACCTCCGCTGCAACAACTCTGGTCCAAGCCACCATCTGTCTCTCCTGGACTGTCACAGGGGTCTCCTAGCTGCTCCTCTGCCTCTATCTTCTACCCTTTCCAAGTTTTCTACAAATAACACCCAGAATGATCCTTTTAAAGCATAAGTCAGATCATATCACACCTCTTCCCAAAGCCCCTTGATGGCTCCCTTTCTCACTCAAATTCACAGAATTGAGTCAGATTGGGAAGGCCCAATCTGATTTTTCCCTTCCCTAGTCCCTGATGTCTTCAACAACCACTCTCCCCCTCACTCCCTCAACCCCTGCTACGCTGGACTTCTTGCTGCTTCTCAAGTAGACCAAGGAAGGATCCAACCTCAGGACATTTGCACCTGATGCTCCTTGGCCTGGAATTCTTTTCTCCTGAATAGCCACATGATTTGCACCTTCATTTCTTTCAGGTCTTTGCCCAAGTGTTATCTTATCACTGTGACCTCCCCTGACCCTTCTATATAAACTAGAAGTTCATCTCCCCAATCTCCCCAGGGTTCTCTCCACCCTCTTAACAGCTGCATTCTTCTTCACAGTATTTATCTCCACCTGACAAAATATTGATTAATTGATTCAATCTATTCCAAAGAGCCATTAAGCTCTTGCAGGGCAGAGATCTGCCTGTTTTTTCATAGCTATATTCCCGGCGCTTAAAATAGTGCTGGCGTATGGAGGCACTTTACAAGCATTTGTTGAATGAATGAATGGATGAATGAATGGATTTTGAGTGACAGGATATTTCTTTCTGCTCTAGAGACCACATACACCAGAGTTGGGTTACAGGTGCTCAAGAAACTCAGCAGGCACCACCCTCATAATAACACATGCCATTACAGAGGCGTTCCCTTTCACTGTCCTTCATTCACTGCTACTTGTATAAAAATAACACAGTAGCTCAGAAAATCAAAGGAAGAGTCAAAGGGTCTCAGAGACTAGAACTAGGTGGCTCTTTAAATTCCAGTCTTGCACGCTGACAGTTGTGTCATCTCAGGTGAGTCACTTAACCTTCGAGGGTTTCATCTGTAAAACAGGGGTAATATGTGCACACTTTAGCGTTGTTACGAAGATTGGAGATAATGTTTTCTAAGCACTAAGCATGGTGCCTGCTATCACAACAGACATTATTAGATTAAGGGAAGCTCAACAAGGAGGTGACGGTGGAGGGGGCACCTCAGGTGGATGGAATCATGAGAATGGAACATCACCCACAGCACAGTCCTGGGAAAGGGAATGGCATGTGGCAGAAGCAGCGGTGAGACCCAGGCAGGACCCAGGGTGGAGAGAGATCTTAAAAGCTGTGGTATCTTTTAAGTATCTCCCAGCTACTGTGTGCAGAAGTAAGTAGGGCTCAGAATGGGGCTAAATATAATAAGTTTGAAATCCCAGGACCTAATATATACATCCAGAAACAGATGATGTCTAGCACATGTGAATATATTGGCATTTGAAAGACTTAAACTCAGACACCAGATTCCTATTGATATTGATAGAGGTAGATATGTTCTCTTTCACTCTTCCATGGAAGGCATTATGGCCAAGAAAAAGGACTTTTTCACCAGGACAGACAAAATGTCTTTCCCAGAATGGAGTGACGGAAACTCCAGCCCGGGTTTTCCTCAAGCCCACTGGCCTTAGGAGGTAGGATCAGTGGTGGTGTAGCTTCCAGGGAGAATGGATGTTTCCAATAAAGGGGCAACCTCTTTCCCTCTGTGGGTAGTTAAAATATATTTATCGTCAGCTTTGAAGTTCAGATGGAGTCAGCAAACTTAGTATTTATAAGCAGGGAAAGTTCATCAGAGACTAGAAACTCTGCTTCTCCTAATTGGGCATCAAACAATGGTATGAGCTCCTCGAAGAAAGCTGGACTCCTCTTCTCTGTTCCCACTCTTAGAGCAAGCCTGGCAGAGCACCCTTAATGGGGGATTTGATGGAAATTTCTCCTAAGGAAAAAACTCTCTATGTCTCTACACAGGTCCACAGGAAAAAAAAAATTTTAAAGAAAAGAAAAACCCTTCCTCCTCCAATTTCTTCCCATATACTATCAACCACTCCCTACCACAAACGTGCATGTGCAAACACACACACGCACATACACCAGAATGCCTGAAATTCCACCATTAGGAATTCATCCTTTTGTGTTATGCTTGGCTGTCTTTCAGCCATTGTCATTTAAGATGTAAATATTCCATAAGGAATAATAATAATGCAGTTTACATTTAGTTAGCAACTGGGGTTTAAAATCACTTTCACTTCCATTATCTTTGATGTTGAACATAGTCTTTCTTAAAATTATTTTTGTAGATTTAGTACAAGAAAAGTACAGAAAAGTTTTGTTACATGAATTATGTTGTGTGGTAGTGAAGTCTGGGCGTACATTGTACCCAACAGGTAATTTTTCATCCCTCACTCCCTCCAACTGTTTCACCTTTTGCAGTCTCCAGTGACTATTATTCCACTCCATATGCCCATGTGTATTCTTAGTTTAGCTCCTACTTAAGAGTGAGAACATGTGATATTTGACTATTTCTGAGTAATTGCACTTAGGATAATGGTTTCCAGTTCTATCCATGTCTCTGCAAAATACGTGATTCCATTATTTTTATGGCTTAGTATTGCATGGTATACATATACCACATTTTATTTATCTAATCGTCCATTGATAGAAACTTAGGTTGATTCCATATCTTTGCTACTGCTAATAGTGCTGCAATAAACATATGAATACAGGTATCTTTTTTATATAATGATTTATTTTCCTTTGGGTAGATACCCAATAATGGGATTGCTGGATCAAATGGTAGTTCTATTTTTAGTTCTTTGAGAAATCTCCACGGTTTTCCATAGAGGTTATAACACTTTGTATTCCTACCAACAGTGAATAAGTGTTCCCTTTTCTTCACATCCTTGCTAACATCTATTGTTTTTTGCCCTTTTAATAATATTCATTCGGACTAGTATAAGATGGTATCTCATTGTGGTTTAAATTGCATTCTATGATGATTAGTGACATTGAGCATTTTTTCATATTTGTTGGCCATTTGTATGTCTTCTTTTGAAAAATGTCAGTTCATGTTCTTTGCCCATTTTTAATGGCGTTTTGTTTTTCTTGTTGTTTGAGTTCCTTGTAGATTCTGCATATTAGCCCTTTGTTGGATGCATAGTTTGCAAGTATTCTCTCCCATTCTACAGGTTGTCTGTTTACTCTGTTGATTATTTCTTTTTCTGTGCAGAAGCTTTTCAGTTTATTTAAGTCCCATTTGTTTATTTTTGTTTTTATTGAATTTGCTTTTGAGGACTTAGTCATAAATTCTTTGCCTAGGCCAATGTCCAGAAGAGTTTTTCCTAGGTTTTCTTGTAGGATTTTTATAAGTTTCAGGTCTTACATTTAAGTATTTAATCAGTCTTGAATTAATTTTTGTATATGGTGAAAGATATGGGTCCAGTTTCATTCTTTTGTCTATGGCTATCCAATTTTTCCAGCACCCTTTATTGAACAGGGTATCCTTTGCCCAGTGTATATTGTTGTTGACTTTATAGAAGATCAATTGGTTGTAGGTATTTGGCTTTATTTCTGGGTTCTCTATTCTGTTCCATTAATCTATGTGCCTATTTTTATACCAATACTCCACTGTTTTGGTTGCTAAAACCTTGTAGGATAATTTGAAGCCAGGCAATGTGTTTTGTTCATTTTGCTTAATATTGCTTTGTTCATTTTGCTTAATATTGCTTTGGCTATTCAGGTTCTTTTATGGTTCCATATGAATGTTAGGATTGTTTTTTTCCATTTCTATAAAAATGCCATGGGTAATTTGAAAGGAATTGCATAGAATCTATAGATTCATTTGGGTAGCATGGTCATTTTAACAGTATTGATTCTTCCAATCCATGAGCATAGGATGTTTTTCCATTTGCTTGTGTAATCTACAATTACTTGTTTTGTAGTCCTCCATGTAGAGATATTTTATCTCCTTGGTTAAAAGTATCCCTAATGCATTTTTGTAGATATTATAAATGGG